TATGGGTAATTTAGCACGGCCAATCCACCCTAACCTGCACGTCCCTGGGCACTATGGGTAATTTAGCACAGCCAATCCACCCTAACCTGCATGTCCCTGGGCACTATGGGTAATTTAGCATGGCCAATCCACCGTAACCTGCACATCCCTGGGCACTATGGGTAATTGAGCACGGCCAATCCACCCTAACCTGCACATCCCTGGGCACTATGGGTAATTTAGCATGGCCAATCCACCCTAACCTGTACATCCCTGGGCACTATGGGTAATTTAGCACAGCCAATCCACTGTTTACCTCACTGTCGGAGGATTAACGCCTGGGCCTTGTGTGTTTATCCTGACCCAGTTACTTTCGGAGGGAGAATTCGGGAATCTCAGTGCTCCCCCCTGCACTTGTCTTTCTTCTGTCCACCCATTCCCAGTCTCCTCTTCATGGTTGAAGCAAAGCTCCTCAGAACTTTGCCTTTCACGCTCGATCAGGACACCCACGCAAGAGTGCCAAATCTCGAGGTTGGGGGGTGGTGGTGGGCGACAATTTCCACTGCGCGAGAGAAAGACGAACCGATTGGTTGGCCAGTGGGCTCGGACTGGTCATGGTGTTGCCACAGAGATGGCGACGGCAGGGGAATGATTGGTCAGCGTTTGAGCAAAACTGCACGGGAATGTTTCCCATGACTTGGCGAGACCGAGTGACGGGAAATCTGAAATCCCTGTCATCCTTCAGCCTGTCTGAAACCCGCAAACGGCCCGTCCCTCTACATTCTGTACAGTCGAGCAGCGTTTCGCCCGTGATCCCTCCGCCTCGTCTTGTTTTGCAGATCAGTGCGGCGCAACCCTACAGCGGCCAGTACTTGACCCACTCGGGAGCCAGGGGCCCGGCCCAGACGCCCACGGGAGTGGGCCCCCCCCGGGGGTTTGGCGGGGGCGATGGGGCAACCGGGCATCTCTGCGAACCACCCGCGCCCGCCCCCGGTCAACGCCCAAAGCCAGCGCATGCCACAGCACGGCTACCTGGGAAGCCGGCAGAGCCAGCAGATGCCCGGCCAGGGGCTGAAGAGGCCATATGTCAGTGAGGTGAGCCTGTCGGATTAGTTCTCAGCCTTCTTGTCGTCACATGGGTGCCACCTTTTACCAGCTGCCACGTTGCGGGACACGGATGAGGGCCACTTTTGGGATACTGCGTGCAGTTCTGGTCTCCCTGCTGGAGGAAAGATGTTATTAAACTTGAAAAGGGTTCAGCAAAGAATGTTGCCAGGGTTGGAGCTATGAAGGAGAGGCTGGATAGGCTGGGGGCTATTTTGCCTGGAGCTTCGGAGGCTGACCTTATAGAAGTTTATAAAATCATCAGGGGCATGGATAGGGTGAATAGACAAGGTTTTTTGCCCCAGGGTACGGGAGTCCAAAACTAGAGGGGCATAGGCAAAAAAAAAAGGAATTTCTTCACCCAGAGGGTTGTTAATCTATGGAATTCCTTGCCCAGTGAAGTAGTTGATGCTACTTCAGTAAATGTTTTTAAAAAAAAAAGTAGATTTTTTTTGAACAATAAAGGAATTAAGGGATACGGTGAGAATGCAGGTAAGTGGATCTGAGTCCACAAAAGGATCAGCCATGATCTTATTGAATGGCGGAGCAGGCTCGAAGGGCCAGACGACCTACTCCTGCTCCTAGTTCTTATGTTCTTATGTACACCGCAAGCGCCCACCGCGCGGCAAGGGCAGGACAGTGGGGATGGCATGGGGTGCGGAGAGCTAACGTAATTAGGAGGGGCTGAACGGCCTACTTCCACCTCTGTAAGAGATGGCCCATCCTGGTCCTGTCTGTTTTTTTTTAAATCGCTAAGTAACAAACGCAAAGCGATTTATTTTCTTTTCCCGCAGGATTTTATTCCGTTTTTAGGCCGACTGGGGAGACTGCAGATGTTGCCAGAACATCCTTCCTCGCAGAAGGAGACCCCAAACCTCCCACACACAATACACCAGGGATCCCTCCCGGATTGCTGCAAGCAATTGGTTCTGTTATTGGAATAACAGAGATTTCGATTAATACCCTGCAAGGCATGAGTTTGATCCTTGACCCAGCACATCTGGGGGCGAAATTAATTCAGTAATTGTTCTCCTTTTAAACAACTAAACGTGGAATAAAATGTCGGCCTTTATGAATGATCTTCCGGAAACTCCCCCTCTTCAGAGGGTCGGTGTGGACCTGATGGGCCGAATGGCCCGCTCCCACACACTGTGTAGGGGTGCTGCGTGTTTCTCAGGGTGTGTGATGGGGCCTAGTGCAGGCTTGCTGGTAGGGGACCTGCCGATGTTGCTAACTGGCACCTCTGTCCTCTTCCCATCCCCTGGTGCAGGGCTACTTGGGCGAACATTACCCTCCTGCCAACCCCCAGCGATCGCTCCCTTCTCCCAGCTACCCTGCCAGGATGCCAGGCCAGCAGAATGCCGGGCGGTACCCCATGCCCCCCGGCGCAATGGGGCAGTATTTTAAGGTAAGAGCGCATTGGGGGTGGGTGGGTGGGGGGGGGGGGTAGGTGGCAGCCAACGTCCCCGGGTTTGCCTTTGTATCCTCCGCAAACCGCGAGTTACCCCTGAAGGCGAACAGCAGCAATGGCACGGTGCCACATGCATGGAAGTGTGCCAGTTGGATGAGGGAGGAGTTGGCAAAACAGCGTAACCTGACCAAGCTTTTGTTGAGATAATAAGGTGTAGAGCTGGATGAACACAGCATCAGAAGAGCCGGAAGGCTGACGTTTCGGGCCTAGACCATTTTTTTAAGCAGGTATCAGTACCCAACTCGCTCGTAATCACATCCGAATGTTTCACTGCGGTTTGGCAGATTGACGTACTCTGGAAGTGCATCTGCCCTCCAACACGTTCGCCTGTCCGTCAAAAGCAAGTCCTGAGTGTGAATTTGATTAATTTGCTTGCGGGGTTAATTCGGAGTTATCGCCTCCTTCTGTAGCAACTGGCTACTGACTTGAAATAGTATGGGACAATTATTGGAAAATTAGCTCCCGTTTCCAAAAGTGTTCAGTTTCACTTGAGTGCAGCTTCCCCTCAAGGTAAATTAATCCATTGCCATCCTTCACCTGACAGGAGGGGATCTGTGGAGCTCAGCGCATGTTGCGCAAGTGGCCTCTTGTAGCAAGAGTGCTGGGTGCTGTGGCTATCTGCTCAATAAGGAGAAATGTGGCTGCGTTTCTCGTGGTTGCTGGGCGATCCACTCCTTTGTGGCTTTTTGGCAAACTGCCTGGTGACCAGCACCCAGCACCAGACCGAACGGCCCTGCCCAGTTGTTCCGGGGGCGGTTCAGAGTGCGCTCCATCGCCATGACTGGAGTCATGTGGAGAGGGCGGAGGATTTCCTTCCTGCCCTTCCCCCTGAAGCATGTCGGTGGGCCTGAAGGACCTTCACCATGATCGATGCCAACCGCCATGGCACACCCATCCACCCCGCCCCCCTCCCATACCGAGCGCCAGACTTCCGACCAATCAAATTCCCATTCCGCGATGGGATTGGAAACCCCGCGGCATGGGGACCGCCTTGGCTGGGCGTGGCAGAGTCACACTGTTGTGAGGAAGGGGACGACAAGATGGTGGCCTCTCCTCCCCGACTGCCAGTGATAAATGATCCCCCCCACCCCATGCTGTTCGGATCTGTCGATGGGTGACCCCACTTTCTTCTCCCACAGCCCTCAGAGCAGTACAATGGACAGAGCAACAGCTTTGCAGTTGGGAGTTACAGTAACTACACTCAGGCCAACATGAATGGGGTATGTATAGATACTGCACCCCACCTCTGGTCTGGGTAGCGAAGGTGGCGAGGGAGGGCGCGAGGTGGGTAGGGGGTTGGGGGGTGGTGCTGGTTGGGTAGAGGGATATGAAGTGCAGGGTGCTCTTGACACAGGGGGGTCCTCCCACTTTCCATCAGGGACCTGGGCTGTAGGTGGGTGGATCCAACACCTTTTACCCACAGTTAATCAGAAATCTATCAATCTCTACCTTCAACGTGCTCAAAGACTGAACTTCCACAGCCCTGTATGGTAGAGACTTCCAAAGCTCACAGCGAACAATATTCTAACCTCTGATCGAAGCAACTTCCCCCCCATCCCCTTTATTTTGAAACTTTGCCCCTGATTTTCAACCCTCCGATTGTGTTGGGTGGCAGTGGGGAGATCTGCATTGTTCCCTTGAAGTATTTCTATGAGATCACCTCTCATTCCTTGAAACTTTAGAGAAACATAGCCCCCAGTCTGCCCAATCTCTCTTCGTAGGGCAGTCCCATCAGCCCAGGAACACATCTGGTGAATCTATGGAGGACTGTGTACAGTTTTGGTCTCCTTCCTTGAGAAAGGACGTACTGGCACTGGAGGGGGTGCAGAGGAGGATCGCTAGGTTGATTCCGCAGTTGAGAGGGTTGGTTTATGAGGAGAGATTGAGTTGTCTGGGACTATATTCGTTAGAATTTAGAAGAATGAGGGGGGGGTGGATCTTATAGAAACTCATAAAATGATGAAGGAAATAGATTAGATAGAAGCAGGGAGGTTGTTTCCACTGGAGGGTGAAACTAGAACAAGGGGGCATGGCCTCAAAATAAGGGGGAGCAGATCTAGGACGGAGTTGAGGAGGAATGTCTTCACCCAAAGGGTTGTGAATCTATGGAATTCTCTGCCCAGTGAAGCAGATGAGGCTACCTCCTTGAATGCTTTTAAGGCAATGATAAATTTTTGAACAGCAAAGGGATTAAGGGTTATGGTGAGAGTGCAGAGCTGAGTCCATGAAAAGATCAGCCATGATCTTATTGAATGGCAGAGCAGACACGAGGGGCCAGATGGCCTACTCCCACTGCAATTTCTCATGTTCTTATGTTGTACTCCCTCAGTGGCAGTAATATCCTTCCTGAATCAAGGAGATCAAATCTGCACACTGTACTCCAGATGCGGCCTAACCAAGCTGCTATACAATTGAAGCCAAACTTCCCGACTCCTGTACTCCTGTACCAGTGAAAGCCAACGTTGCATTAGCCTTCCTAATAACTTGCTGCACCTGCATGTTAGCATTCAGTGACCTATTGAGAAGGATGCCTAACTCCCTTTGTACCTCCTCACTTTGCAACCATTTTAGGAGCACTCTTGCAAGTCCCCTATCCTCACTTCCATCTGCCCTCTTCGAACCCCAGCCACCAATTCTGTCCAAATCCCCCTGAAGCTACTCTGTATCTTCCTCCCCAACGCATGCTCTCGCTTAGTGTTGTATCATTTGCAGATTTGGAAATATTTAAATCCTTGATCTGCGCTGTGGATGACTCGAACCCAAGCATTGACCCTTGTGGTACCCAGGCTAGCCTGCCAGACTGATTAATTCCTGCTTTCCATTTTCTGTCCATTAATTCACGCCAGTACATTACCTTGTATCCCACGTACTTCGATGTTAGAACAAAGAACATTACAGCATGGGAACAGGCCCTTCGGCCCTCCAAGCCTGCACCAACATGCTGTCTGTCACAACTAAAACCCCCCTACACTTCCGGGAACCCTCTATTCCCATCGTATTCATACATGTGTCAAGATGCCCTTTAAAAGTCACTATTGTATCTGCTTCCACTACCTCCCCCGGCAGCCAGTACCAGGCACTCTCTGCGTAAAAAAACTTGCCTCGTACATCACCTTTAAACGTTGCCCCTCGCATCTTCAACCCATGCCCCCGAGTAACTAACTCTTCCACCCTGCTCATGCCATTCATAATCTTGTAGACCTCTATCAGGTTGCCCCTCAACCTCTGTCGTTCCAGTGAGAACAACCCAAGTTTCTCCAACCTCACCTCATAGCTAATGCCCTCCATACCAGGCAACATCCTGGTAAATCTTTTTTGTACCCCCGCCAAAGCCACCACAATCCTTATGGTAGTGTGGCGACCAGAATTGAACACAATATTCCAAATGCGGCCTAACTAAGATTCTATGAAGCTGCAGCATTACCTGGCAATTTTTAAACTCAATGCCCCGGCTGTTGAAGCCAAGCATGCCATATGCCTTGTTGACCTTATGTTGCGAATCGATCGCGTGTGGGGTCCTTATCAAAAGCCATCTGAAAACCCCAAGTACGCTACGCCCATCGAATCATGGTCTACAGCGCAGCCACAGGCCCATCCAGTCTGCACTGGTCAAAAACACTCACCTCAGGTTTATTATCCAGAACGAGGCCTTTCAGCCCATCTGGTCTGTGCTGGTCAGAAACAAACCACTTTGCTATTCCAATCCCCGTCTCCCAGCACTTGGCCCACAGCCTTGGCATGGCAAGTGCCCATCTTCAATGGGATGGGAGTTCCTGCCTCTCCCACCCTTACAGGCAGTGAGTTCCAGATTCCCCACCAGCCTCTGGGTGAAAACATTTTTCCTCCCATTCCCCCTCTAAACCTCCTGCCCCTTCCCTTAAATCTATGCCCCCTTCCCCGGGTCATTGATTCCCTAAACCTACATCCCCTTTTCAAACACCCCTTAAATCTCTGAGGAAGTCCTGGTATGCCCTCGTTTGGCTCCATGCTGCCTAACAATGTGAAGTCTATCAGTGTGGCACGGATAGGTTAAACCTGACTCAACATGGACGCTGCCCCCTCTGTCCCTTCCGAAATGCCCCGGGGGGGGGTCCGCGAGCAAGATTCGAAACGGGAGTTAATCGACCAGTGCTTCATTCTGCAGCTTGCAAGGTCGTTGGCTGGTTACTCCAACTCTCCGATCTTGGGAAATCCGACGCTCCCGCTGACTCCAGGAAACAGTATCCCCCCGTACCTGTCTCCGAGCCAGGAAGTCACGTCGGCCTTCCTCCCAGACATAAAGCCCAGCCTGAATAATCTCCCCCCACCCACCTCAGGTAGGTTCTTTGTGGGGAGGGGGAGAAACGGCTGTGGGGAGGGGAGGGTGGTGTCCAAGTCAACGAGATGAGTTAGCAACCATTGAGGGGGGGAGGGGAAGAAAGAGAAAGAGCTGGAGGAGAGAGGGAGGAGGTCTCTGTAACATGGGTGTGAGGGAGCAGGCGTAGAAAAGGGGGCTTCATGAGCAACTCAGTTTTGACATTACGTTACTAGCCTTGTCTTTTCATTAAATGGCGAATTCTCTCCACCAGTGATTCGATCAGCTACTGTCCCTAATTAGAGCTTCCCTCTCTCTATTTCTCTCTCTCTGTATCTCCTATCATTTCCCTTCCATCCCTCTCTCAGTTACCTCTCTCTCTGTCTCTCTCTCTCTCCCGCTATCGTCTCTCAGTTACCCCTCTCTCTCTATCTCTCACTGTCTCTCTGTCTCTCTCTCTCTCTCTCTCTCCCCCTATCGTCTTTCAGTTACTCGTCCCTCTCTCCCTCTCTCTGTCTCTGTCTCTCCCTCTCCCCTATCGTCTCTCAGTTACCACTCCCATTCCCCCACCTTCCTCTCCTGTCGTCTCTTATTTAATTTCTCTCTCTGTCTCTCATATTATCTCTCAGTTACCTCTCTCTCCTGTCTTCTCTCAGTAACTTCTCCCACCATCTCTCTCTCTCCTTTAGTCTCAGTTAACTTTCTCTCTTATCTCTGTTACCCCTCTATCTTCCCCGTGATATCTCTCTCAGTCACCTCTCTATCTCCCTTCCCCATCATCTCCTTTCCATCCCTTTCTCAATTATCTCTCTGCCTCTCTCTTTTCCTCCTATCATCTCTCTCCCATCCCTCCCTCAGTCGCCTCTCACTCTCTCTCTCCCATCATCTCTCTTGTATCCCTCTCTCTGACACCTCTCTCTCGCTGTCTGCAAAACTGGCTCACTCCTTCTCGATTATCCTATTCCTGACCTTGCCTGTATTCTCGTTTTTCAGCAAATAGATGTTGCTGCTCTCCCTGTCAGTTCGTTCAAAGGCAAAACATTTACATGAATAGTTTAAATGGATAATTCTTTTCTGGATAGGAACTGATTATACTTTGGAAATCCTTCAGGAATGGACTGTAGATAAATGATATTTCAACTCTCTCCCATCAAAGAAAACCTACCAGACGCTAACTCAAGTTTGTATGTTAGTTCTAATGAGAGAATCTGGTTTTGTTCGTTGTTGCTCTGCTGAGAATTAGCACTTCCCAATAGGGCATCTAACAACATCAATTGGAGAGTCACCTGTGGGCCCAGGCAGTCTGTTGGGAGTGTGATTTTGAAAAGAATAAAGGAGTTGTAACAGAAAACGCTGAGCAGGAGAGAGAATAATGGGTGAGGGGTGGAAGAGAGATGATGGTGCGGAGGAGGGAGAGGGAGAGAGAGAGAGAGGTGACTGAGAGAGGGATGGGAGAGAGATAACTGGAGAGAGAGAGGGACAGAAGAGAGATGATGGGAGAGAGATGGAAGGATGATTATTGGGGGAGAGGGAGAGATGACTGAGAGAGGAATGGGGGGAGAGAGAGAGAGAGATGACTGAGAGAGGAATGGAAGGGAGATGATGGGGGGAGAGAGAGAGATGACTGAGAGAGGAATGGAAGGGAGATGATGGGGGGAGCGAGAGAGAGAGAGGTGCCTGAGAGAGGCTAAGAGCAGACTCTGATGCCCTGCCTTCCGTGAATTGTAGCGAACCCCGTGGATGAGCTCCGGCTGATGTTTCCCGTGCGCGACGGTGTCGTCCTGGAGCCGTTTCGGTTGGAGCACAACCTTGCCGTCAGCAACCACGTCTTCCACCTTCGCCATTCCGTTCACCAGACGCTGATGTGGAGGTGAGTGGATGGGGGAGAGGGGGATCAAGAAACCGGGGCCATGTCAGAGAGAGCGGGCAGTGGGCACCTTTTCCCCTCTCTACCACCTCCTAAAGGGGGCAATAAAGACTGGGCCCAGCCAGCGACGCCCACATGCCCTGAACAATTAGAACTCAAAACTGGCGTCTCTTTGCACATGCCTTTTCCTGACTGAAATCCACTTACATACATTTGGAGTGCCATATTCAGCAGGCAGTGAGTAGTACACGGAAGGTGCCCCAATCTGCATTACTGCATTCTTTTTTCTCTCCCGTTTCATCTGTCCCCACATGTTTGCTGCGTTTTGCAGTCCTGGGCTCGGGCCTGATCACAAAATGCAGCAGCTACGGTCTAATTAGAGCTGACCGAGAGATGCATGCATGTATCCGTACACTGCAACATACTCACTGCTGAGGTGCGCATCAGGTTGTTACTAACAAGGAAGGAGTTGAATTTTGTTGAAACTGGAGAATCGCAATTGCAAATTCCACATTGATTCGCCCGCAAAGGGATTTTGCAACAGTCTGCAGACGGTGTGCTCTCACCCTGTCCCGATCTCTCCTCTGCTGCCCATGTTTCTCTCCCAGAAGCCTCGACCAATATCGGGGTGGGTTTTCGCGGAGTTTGCAAACACAACCAAGTTGAGAGCACAGAGTTCTTTTTTTTAATTATACGGGAGCTCTCGTTTTTCAATTCTTCACTTCTCTGTCCAATGTGGAAGCGCCCACCCCTCCATCCCAAAGCCAACTGGGAATGTGACGCCGGGAGCATGCGTTCTCTGTGGTGGGTGAGTGGCACTCTGTCAAATTGGCAAAATATTGGCCCTCTCTCTCTGTCTTAAATAGGCAGCCCACATTTTTAAACCATTGGCTCCAGTTCTAGACTCTCTCATACCAGCCCACAGGTCATCAAGGTTATAAAAGAAGGGGGCATTTGAAAATCGGCTTGAGGTCAAACTGCCATCTGAAGAGAATCTCTCTGGCTCTCACAGAAATCTCTAAGCTCTCAGAGTAAGCATCATCCAAACAAAGAGACTATGGCACTTTTAGCTAATATTCCTGACACAAGAATTCGATGGAGAAAGGCATTCCTGAATGGAAAACAGTGGAGAAGGCAAAGAACATTCTGGAAGACTTTTCCTGGCCGTAATTTTGAGAGACTAAGTTTTCATTTTTTCTTCTTATTACTTTGGCTTATATAAGTGGGACTTGTTTCTAATGGAACAGCATACCATTAGAATTTTGTTTTATTCGGGAACAGTCAGTAATTAGGGGGAAATTGTTTGGTTTGTTAGTCATTCAAATTTGTTCACTGTTCAAGTGGGATAAATAAATTGTTACTCGTTGCTTATAGAGTGAGTATTAGGGATTTCTTTCATTTCTAATAGATTGGGAGTGAGAGGCAAATTGTACCACATTTCACACTTCCTTTAACAGATTACGAGGCAAGGCGAGCTTCTCTGGGTGTTTCAGTTTTAATTATCGGAGAGGTGTCGACCATCCCCTCCATAGCAATAGAAAATATTTGGCCATTCAGCCTTTCCAACCTGTTCCGCCATTCGATCATCTGATCACCCCTGACCCTCCATCTCACATTCCACACCCTTTTAATATCTTTCTAAAAAAAGCCTTGTCAAATATATTCAGTGACTTGGCCTTCACAGCCTTCTTGTGGGAGAGAATTCCACAGGTTCACTGCCACCCCCACCTCTGAGTTAAGAAATGTTTCCTCATTTCAGATCTACCCCGTATCCTGAGACTGGGTTCCCCTGGCTCTAGATGTTCCCTTCCCCCACAGCCAGCAGAAACAAACCTATCAAGCCTGTTGGAATTGTATACATTTTAATCAGATCCCACTCTCATTCTTCCAAACTCCAGTGAATGCAGGCCCGATCTCTCCTTTTGGAACAGTCTGGCTATCCCTCATATTGGCCTAGTGAGTCTCTGCTGCACTCCCACCATGGACAAATATATCCTTCCTTAGCTAGGGAGAGCAAAACTGGCAAAAATCCTCACTATTAAGAGAGAAGGGAGTGTGTTTCTGTTACCCACTCCGTGATTTAAGAGACACATATCGGAGGTGGATTTGCTGTTGACGTATACACTGTTCTGCCTCGCGTCTCCTTCAGGCCAGACTTGGAGCTCCAGTTCAAGTGTTACCATCACGAAGACATGCAGATGAACACAAACTGGCCAGCTTCAGTTCAGGTCAGCGTCAACGCTACGCCCCTGACGATAGAGCGAGGCAACAATAAAACTTCACACAAACCTCTCTACCTGAAGCACGTGTGTCAGCCTGGGAGGAACACCATTCAAATCACAGTGACAGCCTGCTGCTGTGTGAGTACCACTGCTCTCTGCCGTTCTACCTATGTGGCTTTAAGAGCTCATTTTATCCTTCTTTGTTTTCCCCGAGAAAGGAGAAGGTTTAAGGCAGAGGAATCGAGCTGTCTATTTTGAAAGCCGGTAAACGGTTTGTGGAGGCTTTGGGGTTTTTTTTAGAAAGTTGGAACTATAGAAGCAGCCTGAATGGGTGTGGCCAGCTCTCACAGACCAGGGATTCTAGTTTTTGTTTTTGGCTTATAAGTTCAGCAGACACTGCTGCAGTATTGGAGAATTAGAAGCCATCTTTTCCCTCTCTCGGTTACAGCTGGAATTAGTAATAATTACTGCATCTATTATTATGTTAAGCTTTCCAATAGAGTTAAGTTATCGTCCTTTATTTGGATGCATTTTAAGCGTAGTGTTTGAATAAATGGTGTTCCGCTTAACATCAAGTGGTTTGACCAATCCATTTGCAGCTGGAACACAGCACCTCACATTTGTCTTTAAAATGAGGAGACGTTAGGGTCTAGGCTACCTTCTTAATGTATTTTGAGGGGGTCTGGTCTGGTCCATAACACACCGCTCGCTGTCATATTTGTGCTGAGCTCAGGCACTCTCCCTACCGCAACATGCACCTATCCAATTCTAACAGGGACTAGACAGGGTAAAGGATGTTCCCGATGACCTGGTGGGAAGGGTGGGGGTTGGGGCCAGAACCAGGGGGTCACAGTCTAAGGATATGGGGATAGGACTGAGATGAGGAGAAATGTTTTCACCCAGAGAGTGGGGGGAGCCTGTGGAATTCTCTGCCACAGAAAGCGGTTGGGGGCAAAACACTGTTTTCAAGAAGGAGTTGGATATAGTTCTTAGGGATAAAGGGATCAAAGGGTGAAAACGTGGAACAGGGCACAGAGTTGGATGATCATATTCAATGGGAGAGAAGGGCTGAATGGCCTCCTCCTGCTCCAATTTGCTCTGCCTTTATGAAGGCTGTGACGTTTTCGAAGGGAAAGAATGCCTTTCGATAGCGCCTAAGGTGCTCGAACAAAACCTCTCTGCGCTTGTTTATAAAACAATCCTGTGTGCTGCAGTTAGTTCATTGGAGGAGTTTAAACCGGCTCAGAGCCGTGGACAATGGTTGTTGAAATCTGCGGCCCTCTGTCACCGCGAGGGGTAGGCCATGTCACGTCAGGCAAGGTAACCGATCGGAAAGCCCCGGGAAAACAGGCTAGGCCCGGAGGAGAGAGCAGGTAGCTCCCCTGCTGTCAAATTGACTGACATTCTGTTGTCTTCTCCCCCCTCCAACCCTCCTTGTAGTCCCATCTGTTTGTACTACAGTTAGTACACAGACCCTCTGTCCGATCAGTGTTGCAAGGCCTCCTGAGAAAGAGATTACTACCTGCGGAACATTGCATCGCAAAAAGTGAGTACTGCATCATCTCCTGGTCGATTGAGTGCATGCATCTCTCAAGAGGACACTTTTACCAACTTTACACATGGCCATTTTCACTAACTACATCCAACAATCCTCTCTCTCTGTCTCTGTCTCTCCACGAGCTCGTCGTTGCTTGTCCCTATGTGATAGCTGCCTGTTTTAAGTCTCTAATGTCTCAATCTTGTTGACAAACACGCGGGTTTCCTCGTGTGAGGTGTGTTTCTGTCATCGGGGCAAGTTCAGTCATTTAAGCACATTGTCCACAGAGCCGTGCAGTAAACGCTTCTCGATCTTTCTTTCTTTCTTTCTGCCGACCGCAGTCAAACACAACTTCAGCAGCGGCAGTGGTGCCATTTCGTCTGGGAACCCCGGGCTGAGCGGGGAGGATGGCTTGGAGCAGACGGCGATGAAAGTGTCACTGAAGTGCCCGATCACTTACAGGCAGATCCAGCTGCCAGCGCGAGGGCATGACTGCAAGCACATACAGGTCAGTACGCTCCGCTCCTACACTGCTTCAATGGGGGCTGGGCCCAGTATTTATTACCCCGTTCACCCCCTAATTGCCCCTACTTTGAGAAGGTGCGGGTGAGCTGCCTTCCTGAACCGCTGCAGTCTGTGTGGTGTAGGAACCCCCACACAGTGTCCTCAGGGAGGGAGTTCCAGGATTTTGACCCAGTGACCCTGAAGAAATGGCCGATATATTTCCCAAGTCGGGGACAGTGAGGGGCTCAGAGGGTGAACTTGCAGGGGGTGGTGTTCCCATGTACCTGCTGCCCCTTGTCCTTCTGGATGGAAGTGGGTCGTGGGTTTGGAAGGTGCTGCCTGAGGGTCCTCGGTGAGTCGCTGCAGTGCATCTTGTAGATGGTACACACTGCTGTTACTGAGCGTCGGTGGTGGGGGGAGTGGGATGTTTGTGGATGTGGGGCCAATCGAACAGGGGGCTGCTTTGTCCCTGGATGGTGTCGAACTTCTCGAGTGTTGTTGGAGCTGCCCCCATCCGGGGCAAGTGGGGAGTATTCCATCACATTCCTGACTTGTGTCTTGTCGATGGTGGGACAGGCTTTGCGGGGGGGGGGAGTCAGGAGGGGAGTTACTCGCTGCAGGATTCCCAGCCTCTGACCTGCTCTTATCATTGCTGTGTTTGTATAGAAGTTCCCTCCAGGTTGGTAAATCCAGAATATTATGTAGGTCCGCACAGAGGGGCTGCTGGCCAAACTAGGATATGTATGTTGCTATGTACTTGTGTGAGTATTTGTTCATGTTGTCCCAACTGAGTGTCTGTAGTGGGAAACAAGAGATTAACAAAATCGGTTTAACCATTGGAGACAAGGTGTAGACACTTAAGATCCGTTACTGGAGCAAGGAGAAAGGAAATTGTCAAATATAAGGGAGCAAAGAAGTCAAGAGAATAGTTCAGGATGTGACTGAGGTATCAGCGTGCCTTTGGATACCGGGTTGAACCAGCCTGTGAACATTTAAGGTTTTAGTGAAGATCTGTAGCTCGGGTTATGGGTAAGATTATTGACTTGCTCGCTGAGCTGGCTTGTTTTCGTTCAGACGTTTCATCACCATGCTCGGTGGCAACATCAGCAGAGTCTCTGATGAAGCGATGTTATTCTACTCCGCTTGGAATCTATACTGTCTAATCCGTTATGGTGAATAGTGTCATTTCCGGTTTTGATCTGTATGTGTTTGTATATGAGGTCCAACTCTATATGTTTGTTGATTGATTACGGGTGGAGAACCATGCCTCTAGGAATTCCCATGCATGTCTATGTTTGACTTGGGCTACTGTGGTTACTTTGTCCCAGTTAAACTGATGGCCTTCACTCTCTGAGCGTACCGATATGAAGGAGAGTTCATTGTGCCATTTTGCTGCGAGCTGATGTTCATGTATTCATGAATACATAGGCAATATACAAACCCATACAGAACACAACCGGAAATGACAGTACCCACCATAACGGACCAGTCAGTATAAATTCCAAGTGGAGTAGAATAACATCACTCCATCAGAGGCCTCACTGATGATGTTACCTAGCATGGTGACGAAACGTCTGTACGATAGCTAGCCAGCTCGGCGAGCAAGTCCACAATCTCAGTCTCTGAACAGTTGTAGCTGGGCACGCAGTGGGAAGACAGTCAGCATTAACCAGGATAAACAATCGGAGAACTCAGACTTTAACGATCATTCTGCCAGACTTCCGGTTACCGTCTTCTTTCCATTCAAAATAAACACGAAAATCGGAAGTGGGGAAGAATGTTTCCATTTGGACACCAAAGCAGCTTGCCTGAGTGTTGGCTGCATTATCGCTGGAGTGGTTTGAATCCAATGCGTGCTGAAATGCCCTTTTATTTTTCGGATGTTCGACAAAGGCGTTTCCACTGTCAAACAGTCTCTCAAGTGGGTAAGGGTGGTATGGGAGAAATCAGCCTTATGCTCTTCTCTGTCCTTACTAGTGTTTCGACCTTGAGTCCTACCTACAGTTGAACTGTGACCGAGGAACCTGGCGATGTCCAGTATGCACGTAAGTTCATTGTCATCGCTGAGAATTGGCTTCTTTTTAAAGGAACAGAATTCCTCACTTGTCTCCCTACAGTTCTACAGCCGCTGCAGACCTACTGATCCCTGGTAGGAATGTACTGAAAAGAGCCTCCTGGGGTTTAAAGTGTAAAAGCTCCACGGCCTTTCAGTGAATAAATTTCTCCTCGTCACGGTCCAGCATGGCTGCCCTCCTACTGGAGACACCCACTTAGTTTGAGACTCCCAGGTTCGGGGAAGTCCTTCTGCCCGAGACCCTTAAGAATGAATTTTGACCCCATCCCGTGGTCCTAAACACTAGGGAATATTGGTCAAGTCAATTCAATCTCCACCCCCCCCACCAATTCCAGGGAATCTGTCCGCTGAGTTTTTGTTACAATTGACTTGGAGGGAGTGTAAGGGGCCCCAAGACTACACAAAGTACTGTAGTTTGTAAAATCGTGACGGTTTACCCAGCCCCCCTCCGCCCCACCCAGCCGTTGCACAGAGTCTATAACGGGGTCAAGTTGAGGTCAAGTCTTGGAAACACCTTATTCTGCAGTCTGTGACTTGGTTCCTTACTGGAGGCCTTTTGGCAGTCCAGACAAACGAAATCTCTCACATCAGGCCATTCAGCCCCTCCATCGATCTGCCCACTCGGTCAGGTCAGGGGGCGGATCCACATTTCCACCCAATAACCTTCCAGCCTGCCTCTCCCTGTCAACAAGAAGCTGGCCAGCGACGGTACAAAGGCTCTACTTCCATCGACTTTCGACGACAAGACTTCTCCTTCCCCGTGCCTCCAGGAGAGTGACCCTCTTCCTTAGCTCTGTCTGGACATGATGGCTGTGGAAACAACTCGACCATTCTAGATCCTACCCCCGAGAGGAAACGTCGAGGGGGCTGGAGAGAAAGCGGGAAATGTGGCGCTGAGATACAGGATCGGTCACGATCCTCTTGTGAATGGCAGAAAATTTCTATCCTCACCTCTGCCAAGACCCCTCAGGATCATATATGTCTCAGATGCCGTCTGCATCACCACTGGCTACTCTCTCTCTGTTACCTCCTGTACAAGTTCAGTGTACTGGGTTAGGCTGAAGGTTTCCTTTCAAGGACCACACACGGCCGTACGTTCCATATCTCTCCAAAGCTCTTTGACTCTCCCCTTTCATCAGGATTTGCTTATTTGATCTTCGGCCAACATCAAAAACATCGAAGACGAGACAGAATACAGGAAAGAGAGGGAGTGCTTGGTGGCACATTGTAAAGATAACAGTCTTTCCCTCAACATCAGAATGAAAGAGCTGCTCATTAACTTTAGGAAGGAGGGAGTGGGGCCTGTCCCTGTCTACATTAAAGGTGCTGAGGTGGAGAAGGTCAGGAGCGTCAAGTTATTAGGAAGGATGACCACCAGCAAACTGTCCTGGTCCACCCACGTTGATGAGACGGTCATAAAGGCACAACGATGCCTCAGGAGGCTAAGGGAATTCAGCACATCCCACAATGCCTCTTAGCAATTTTTATAGGTGCGCCATAGACAACATCCTGTCTGGATGTATCACAGTTTGGTACGGCAACTGCTCTGCCCAGGGCCGTGAGAAACTGCAGAGCGTTGTGAACACAGCCCAGTCTATTACCTTCCATCCATTGACTCCATCTACACTTCCCGCTGCCTCAGGAAGGCAGCCAACGTCATCAAAGAACCCTCCTGCCCTGCCTTGGTTATAATCTCTTCCAAACTCTTCCATCAGGCAGAGCACACAAAAGCTTAAACACACATACCAACAGATTCCTGAACAGCTTCTTCCCCGCTGTTGTGAGACTTCTGTATGGACCTCCCAAATTTTAAATTTAGTGTTGATCTCGCTCCCTGTGCACACTCTCTGCACCCGTAACATTGTATTTCTCACTCTGTTCTATCATCCTAAATGCACTCTGTATGATATGATCTGCCTGTACTACACGCAAAACTAAACTTTTCACTAAAGCTAGGTACGTGACATTAGATTAAATTTTAAAACAAAAACGACCCAATTGAGGATGTATGCTGAGAATTAGAAAAATCAATGCTGTGTCAGTTTGGGGTTTGTAATCCTGCGGTGTATTTTTAAAAATAAAAAAAGCCTTCCATAACGATCTTTTTCCACTTTTAACAGTAAGACAGCCGTGCTGGAAGGGCTGGAAATTGACCAGTACATGTGGGGCATCTTAGCGGCCATTCAGAAGTAAGTGAATTTCAAGCAGCTTCCGTTCTCCTTGAATAACGAGGCAGTAGGCCAGAGCTCCAAGTCTGACGACCCTCTGAGGAAAGACATTTCTCCGGTCTCTCCATCCCGACACTGTCAGACCAGTCTCCACAACCTTGGATGACGTGAAGCCCCAAAACACCACCGCGCCCCCATCACCGTTCCCCTTCCCAACTTGGACTTGTTGTAAGCTGACTACGTGATCATAAGATGTAGGAGCAGTATCTGGCCATTCAGCCCATCGAGAATGCTCCGCCATTCAATCATGGCCAATATGTTGCTCAACCCTGTTCTGCCTTCTCCCTGTACCCCTTGACCCCCTCACTCATCATGACCCTCTCTATCTCTGTCTTAAAGACACTCAATGACTTGGCCCCCACAGCCCTCTGCAGTAATGAGTTCCACAGATTCACCTCCCTCTGGCTGAAGAAATTCCTCCTCATCTCAGTTCTAAAGGGCCATCCCTTCACCCTGAGGCTGTGCCCTCAGGTCCTAGTCTGTCCTACTGAGTGGAAACATCTTCTCCCCATCCACTCTATCCAGGCCTCTCAGTATTCTGTAAGTTTCAATCAGATTCCCCACCTCATCCTTCTAAACTCCATCGAGTACAGACCCAAAGTCCTCACCCGCTCCTCATACGACAAGCCCCTCATCCCCAGGATCATTCTTGTAACCTCCTCTGGACCCCCCCTTCAAGGCCAGCACATCCTTCCTTAGATACGGGGTCCAAAACCTGCTCCCAGTATTCCAAACGCGGCCTTATACAGCCTCAGCAGTACGTCCATACTCCTGTATTCTAGCCCTCTCAATATGAATGTGAACATTGCACTTGCCTGCCTAACTGGCAACTGAACCTGTACGTTAACCTGAAGAGAATCCTGAACTCGGACTCCCAGACCCTTTGGTTGCAGATCTCCAAAGCCTCTCCCCGTTTACAAAACAGTTGGCGCCTCTATTCTTCCTACCAAAGTGCTTATCCTCACACTTTCCCACGTTGCGTTACTTCTCAGACCCTGAGTCCTCAACCGCTACTCTTCAGGCAAGCCCTTTATCCCCAGGATCGTTCTTATAAACCTCCTCAGGACACTCGCCATGCAAGGCCAGCACATGCTTCCTTAGATACGGGGCCCAAAACCGCTCGCAATATTCCAGACGCCAGCCACGAGTTAGCTCAGAAGCTGGAGGCAGTCTGGAACTGAACGTGAGTGGTAGAAAGTCACAGGTAGCTGCTTCCAAGCTGGCTCTAGCTGCGGTATGAGCCTTCAAGCCATAACATGATTTACTTTGTCGGGGCAGCCTCTCTTTTATGTTGCTTCCCAGCTAGATTACGGTTGTGGGTGCAGACTCTTTTCGAAAGGAAACTGCGGGCGGTTGTTACTTAAAGAAATAATGAGCGAAGTGAAGTGCAGCCTGAGGCCATGGTTCTCCTGCCATTGTTTTGTGTCTGTGGATCACAGTCCCCATCAGCCAATCCCCCCCGAATTGAGAAATACCCGTCCAACCCTTCAAGCTGCCAGCCCAGCGCGACGTTTGTAAAATTGGGACATGCCCGCGCAGAAACGGACATAACTTTGGAATCGTGATTGGAAAGGGCAAGGGGGAGTCTGGGGAGAAACAAACAGGACCCGTTTGCAAGTTCTGGTGCAGTGGGTTGAATGCACTGGCCCCAAAGCTTGTGCGCAACCTGGAATTTGGATGTGGGGAACTGGGAGCAGGGGCAGGCCATTTGGCCCTCCGAGCCTGTTCTGGCTTCCCGTTTGATCCCTCAGAACGGCATCGAAGTCCTTCTGGAAAACGTTTGGTTGTTTGGCCCTTGACTGTCTTCTGCGGCAGGGAATTGCACAGGCTCGTCACTGCCCCCCTGTGGTGATGGGTCACTAGTTAATAAAATGGGCCTTGACTGATGGGTGCATTGAAAGGCTACCTTTACATGATGCGTCTCTCCGATTTTTTTTACCCCCCACTGCAGCACGGAGTTCGAGGAGGTGACAATCGACTCGACGTGTAGCTGGAGGCCGGTGCCTGTGAAGCCGGAGCTTCATGTCAAAGACGACCCCGATGGCCCCGCGGCCAAGAGGTGCAAGACCATGAGCCCCAGCCAAACGATCATGCCCAACATCATGGAGATGATAGCGGCCCTGGGACCCGGGACGTCTCCATACCCGTCTCTGGCAATGCCACCAGGGAGCGTCAGCCACACCGACTATGCCCATCAGAGTAAGTACCTCAACAAGGCGACGGCCCTAGTGGTCTTACCTTCATTGCATTAATCTAAAGACCCGGGTAATTTCTGGGGGACCCGGGTTCAAATCCCACCAGGGCAGCTGGTGGAATTTGAATTTGGTAAAAACCTGGAATTAAGAGTCTAGTGATGGTCGCGGATCCATTGTCGATTGTCGGGGGAAAAGCCCACCTGATTCGCTCGTGTGGGGCCATCTGCCATCCTTACGTGGTCTGGCCTACACGTGACTCCAGACCCAGAGCGATGTGCTGGGCAATGAGGGATAGGCCCAGACAGCAACGCCCTCGTCACGCAAGTGAATAATTTTTTTTTAAAAAGGCGCAAGGCGGCACGGGGAACGTACTGTTTGAGGGCAAGCCTCGCATTTAAATAGCACCTCCCAAGACTGCAGGACTCCGAACTGAGAGGCCACAGAAAACTCTGCTTTCTCAGGGGGGATAAAATTATCCTCACAGGTTTCCCACACTTAAGCTTAGCTGCAATCCCACGGCAACCACGTGAGGATTGCATCCACCACTTCCTCTGAAGATTCATTCCAAAATTGAAATTTGTAAAAAAACAAATTGCCCCAATGTCTTTTATTAAATCTTTCTCCTCTCACCTTAAAAATATGCCCCATAAGTCTTGAAATCCCCCACCCTAGGGAAAAGACCCTTGCCATTCACCCTATCTATGCCCCTCATTTTATAAACCTCTATAAGGTCACCCCTCAACTTCCTACACTGCAGTGAAAGAAATCCCACCCTATCCAGCCTCTCTTTTCCCTCCATTCCCAGCAACATCCTTATAAGTCTCTTTCGAACCCTCTCTAGATTAGTAATATATTTTCTATGTGGAGACAAAAAAAATACTGCAGATGCTGGAATCCAATGTAGACAAACAGGAGGTTGGAAGAACACAGCAAGCCAGGCAGCTTCTGGAGGAAAGGAGCAGTCAACGTTTTGGGTATTACCTTTCTTCAGGACTGGATATGAGGGTAGGGGGAGCAGATAAAGAGAGGGAGGGGGAAGGGGGTAGCAGAATGATGGTGATAGGTGGACACTGGTGATAGGTACGACCTGGTTGGTCGATGGGAGGGATCGATCCAGTTGGTAGCTGGAAAGGAGGGTCAGTAGGTGAAATAGAAGGGAGGAGGTGGGGCTGGAAGGGGAGCTGGAGGGATGGGTGGGAAGGTTATTTGAAATTGAATTCTCCAATGTTGAGTCCTCTGGGCTGTAGAGTGCCAAGGTGGAAGATAAGGTGTTCTTCAAGTTTGCGTTCCAAGTCACTGCGACACTGGAGGAAGCTGAAGACGGACATGTCGGAGGGGGAGTGGGACGGGGAGTTGAAATGGGCGATGACTGGAGGGTTAGGCTGGGTGTTACGAGCCAGGCGAAGGGGCTTGGTGAAACAGTCATCTAGTCTATGTTTGGTCTCACTGGTGTAGAGAAGACCACATCAGGAGCACCGGATGCAGTAGACTAGGTTGGAGGAGATGCAGGTGAAGCTCTGTCTCACATGGAAGGACTGTTTAGGGCCCTGAATGGAGATGAGGGAGGTGGTAGTGTGGGCGGTGTTGCATCTTTTATGGTTACAGGGGAAGGTACCGGGGAGGGGGTTGGGGGGTGGGGTGGGGGGGGAGGGGGGGGGGGGGGGGGGGGGGCGGGGGCGGGGTTGGAGTAATTGGTGGGGAGTGTGGTGTGAACTAAGGAGTGGCGAAGGGAATGGTCCTTACGGAAGGAAGAGAGGGGTGGGGTGCAGAAGATGTTCCGGGTGGTGGGATGTAATTGGAGGTCTTCTGACCCTCCCTTCCAGCCACCAACTGGATTCATCTCTCCCATCGACCAACCAGGTTGTACCTACTACCAGCGTCCACATCACCACCGTTCTGCCCCCCCGCCCTATATCTACAGCTCCCCCTACCCCCATATCCAGTCCTGAAGAAGGGTAATACCCGAGACGTTGACTGCTCCTTTCCTCCAGATGCTGCCTGGCTTGCTGTGTTTGTCTACAATATATTTCCTATAATGGGGTGACCAGAACTGGACACAGTGCTCCAGAAGAGTCCTCACCAAGTCCTGTACAACCTCAACATGACGTCCCAACTCCTGTGCTCAAAGGTCTGAGCAATGAAGGCAAGCGTGCTAAACACTTTCTTAACCACCCTGTCTACATGTGATGCAAACTTCAAAGAATTATGTACCTGAACCCCCTAGGTCTCTCTCCTCTACAATACTAACCAAAGCCCTACTTTTAATTGTATAAGCACTGCCTTTGTTTGTTTTAGCGAAATGCAATACGTTGCATTTATCCAAATTTATTCAGTCAAGCAAGAATAGAGAAGGTTTAGTTTAAAGGTACATTTCACATCCTCCGCAATTTTATGCCACATTGATTTTGAGGGAGTGCAAAATCACACAGGGAGTGCTTCAACTTGATGAATCTTGATTGCAATTGCTCTGAGAGCAGGGGACAGAGGAAGGGCTCTGTTGGTGACCCCCATAAGAGATGAAAAGAGAAAGCCATTGAGGGTCATTTGGTACAAGACATATGATGGAGAGCAGGGTCCGAGGCAGGCACAGAGTTAGTACAGAGTTAGCACCCTGGGCCAACGCTGGGGGTTGGGGTGGGGGGGGGAAGGGCGTTGCGGTGGTGGGTGGTGAGTGGTTGGTGGCGAAGGAACTACTTGAAGGCAGAGTAGCTGTGCTAGAGAACCTGAGGTTGGTGAGGGCCCGGGCAGAATGCTTTTCAAACTAAGACCAGTGGTCAGTCATGGACAGAATTGGGGGAGACAGGGCCTTACATTATCCACGGAGGGTGGAATTTCCGGATTGTGGACGGGAAGGGAGGGCCTCCTCTCGGTGCTCAGCTCCCTGCCAAATGGGGAGCTCTGCGAGTGGTTTCCCATCCCTCAGCTGAGAGGTTGCAGGGATGGCATGAGGTTAATGGAGATGAGATTCCCCCCCCCCCCCCCCTTCCTCCCCACCCCCATTCTTCTAAACTCCAGTGAATATCATTCTAACCCAATCTGGTCTCTCTTCATCCGTCAGTCCGTGCTATCTCAGGGAATCAGTCTGGGAAACCCTTCGCTGCTCTCCCTCCGTCACCAGAAGGAGCAGAGAGACCAAAACTGCCCACACAGTACTCCAAGGCGTGGTCTCGCCCTGTCCAATTGCAGCCAGGCATCCTTATTCCCCAGTCCCGTGTGCTTAAATTGACATGCTTATCTCTTACGTGGGACCTTATTACTGCCATCTTAAAGTCTAAGTAAACCTCATCCACAGGCCCTAGGCTTTTAATTCCATCAATTTCTCCCAAATCATTTCCTTAGCTTATTTACTTACTAATACTGGTTGCCCTAAGTTCCTCTCTCTCTCTCATTAACAGCACTAGACAGATTAAATGCAGGAAGGATGTTCCCTATGACTGTCCAGGGGACCAGAACCGGGGTGGGCGGGAGGGAGGGGGTCACAGTCTCAGGATACAGGGTAGGACTGAAATGTGGAGAAATGTCTTCACCCAGAGAGTGGTGAGCCTTTGGAATTCACTACCACAGGAAGTGGTTGAGGCCAAAACATTGTGTGTTTTACAAAGGAAGTAGGTACAGCCCTTGTGGCCTAATAGTTCAAGGGATACAGTAATGGAAGGGCAAGATCAGCCAAGATCATATTGAATGACCTATTCCTAACTTTCTATATGTTCCCCAACATTTCTGGAACATTTTTTTGAGTCTTCCTTTGTGAAGACAGAGCCAAAATACAAAGTATTTAATTGGTCTTCCATCTCTGTTCCCCATTGTGACTTCCCCTGTTTTCTGACAGTAAGGTCTTGCCCTCACTAATCTTTTCATTCCAACAAATCAATCAGTTTGCATGTTCCTCACAAACTTATTCTTGTACTCTATTTTTCCCCTCTTAATCAATCGTTTTGTCCTCCTTTGTTGAAATCTAAACTGCTCCTAAGTCTCAGGTCCGCTGCTTTATTTGGCCAATCCTTCCTTGGATCTGATACTGTCCTCAATTTCCCATGTAATCCATGGTCAGACCGCCTTTCCTGTTTTATTTCTGTCCCAGGGAGCAATGAACAATTGTTACAGTTCCTCCACACTCTCTTTAAATGTTTGCCATTGCCTAGCCGTGCCATCCCTTTAAGTGACATTACTACAGCCAGTTGGAAACTCTGATTTGCTGGCTAGTGCTTAGACAATGTGTGGCGGACACTTTTGCTCCTCTCGGCCCACAAGCAGTGCCAAAAAAGACACTTATCCTCATCCTGCAGATGTCCTTATCTCCCTTTCAGTCGCCAGGTTTCCTTGGGACTGCAAAACCCACCCAGCTAGTGTTAAAGCCAACAGGTGACATCAAATCTGAGACACACAGCCTCAATAAAACATGGGAACTGTCTGTCGTAATTCCATCAAAGTCAGAAGTGGGTAGGTTGGGCTTAGGTTTGAGATTTCCAATTTTCTCACCACCCACCCTGGTACGTGTCCTGGACCCTGACTGTCTGTTCTATCCCAAACCTGCATTTTTGCCTCCTTTCTGAATGAGCAGAACCCCTCTTTGTCCCAGTCAATGTGGAGACCTTGTTCCTTGATAAAGCTTCTGCCTGTGACGTTTTGGACCTGGAATAAATGGCCATCAACCTCTTTATTTTCGAGGCTCTTAAACAGAACCCCTGGAGGCTTGGCCCTTTGTATTTGAGAAAAGGGACTGTCTTTCATTTGTCCTTCACTGTAGTCAGAAGTACAGATGCACCCACCTGCCTGTCCTGGAGCATCTGATGAATTGTGCCTTTGTAGATCTTATTTGACAGAGTGAGGAGAAGGTGCGGGAGAAGCCTTTTTGTAGACCTGACAATAACGCGGCTGGGGAAGGAGGGGCGGACTATAGATCAGGGACACATGCATATTATATGGCTAGTTGCGCAGAGGCTGTTAATCAGTTCTGCCATGAGTGGGCTGCAGAGATGACTCACTTCTCCAATTCACTGTAAGTGGTAAGATTAATCCCATTAATTTGCGGGTATCTGATGTTCGTGAAACACAAGATCTTGGTTTTCAGCCTGGGCAGCCACCAACCTATCTAGAGACACAAATCTGAAAATGTCATGACAAACAGCATGTAAACTTTTTTTAAAAAATGCACATAGTAATGAGCTGCGTGAATGTAAGAACATGGCAGCAGGAGTGGGCCATTCAGCCCCTCCCCCTATCAATCAATAAAATCACGGCTGATCTCCCCCAGGCCTCCACTTCTCTGTCATGCCAGCTTTTCATCACCCTCAACTCGATATTACTCCTCTGTACAGATTTTAATTGACCTAGCTGCCACAACTCTCTCGGGTAGAGAATTCTAGACTTCCATTACCCTCTGGGGAAGAAATTCCTTCGCATCTCAGTTTTAAATGCATGTTCCCTTATTCAGTAACTGTGTACCCTAGTTCGACAAGTGGAAATGCCTTCTCAACATCGACCCTGTCAGACCCCTCTGATAAGATTGCTGCCAGGTGTGGTGGTGGAGGCAGATATGATAGGGGCGTTTAAGGGGCCTTTAGATAAGCACATGAATAAGTAAGGAATGGAGGGATATGGACAACGGGAAGGCAAAAGGGATTAGTTTAATTTGGCATCATGTTCGGCACAACATTGTGGGTCAAAAGGCCTGTTCCTGTGCTGTACTGTTCAATGTTCTATAACCTCCCAACCACCGTCTTTAAATGATAAAGAATAAAGGCTAACCATTCGCGATAAATTTTGATGAACCCCTTCATCCCAAGAAACAGCCTAATGAATCCCTTTTGAACCACCTCCAATGCCAGTCCATTCCTTCTTAAATACAGAATTATACACCGTACTCCAGTTGTGGTCTGACAAACACCCTGTACTGATGTAACAAGGCTCCCGTTTCTAAACTCCAACCCATAACAATAAAGCCAAAATTCCATTTACCTTAATTACCTGCTGCAACTACAAGCTATTGTTTTCTATTTTGTGCAGTAGAATACCCAGATGCATCTGCGCTACACATTTTTGGAGCCTGCATTTTGAGAACTGGGCATCCAGGCTGAGGAATGCCTCCATTTACAATAGGCTTTTGTCAATCTCAATAGACTTGAGTTTATATTCAGGGTATGTCCCAGAAAAGGCCGCAGACCTTGTGTCGATGAAAGGACTGAAGTTATCGGTTTCGACATAATTTTCCTTTTCGCAAGCTCATTCAATTAGAAGCAAAAAGGCATTTACGTTTGGGGCCATGTAAGAACTTACCTCTTTGTGATAGCATCCAACATCTCAGCTTAACAGTTACCCCTAGGCTGTGAATATTGCAATCAAGGACTGATGGTTCACCTATTGGACTATTGCAGCATTTGGTACAGTCTAACGCAAGGGTGAGAAATGTTTGTCTTCTTACCTTGGACTATGAGAAGCACTGGGTGCTATAAAAGATTCACAGCAGCAGCACCAAGTGGGCTCGTACCAAATCAGCAGCTGATCTTTCACTGCTTTTCACCACCATTCACCGAACCACTGGCTCACATTCTCTTCTGGCAACTGATTCCTCACCTTGCTGTCGCTTTTGCTTGGCTTGACATTAAGAACCTTGGTGCTGTGTCGCAGTTTAACAGAAAATGCAAAGTGGTAGGGTGCAACATCAGCTGCTGATTGGGACTGGAGGGTTTGAATTATACAGAGGGCCTGGATAGGCTGGGAATTTTTTCCCCTGGAGGGTCAGAGGCCAAGGGGCGACCTTACAGAAGTTTATCAAATCATGAGGGGCTTGGATAAGGTGAATAGCTGAGGTCTATTCCCAAAACCAGAAGGTGAGAGGGGAGAGATATAAAAGGGACCTGAGGGGCAACTTTTTCACACAGAGGGTGATGCGTGTATGGAACGAGCTGCCAGAGGAAGTGGTGGAGGCTGGTACAATTACAACATTTAGAAAGGCGTCTGGATGAGTATATGAATAGGAAGGGTTTAGAGGGATATGGGCCACATGCTGACAAATGGGACTAGTTAAGTTTGGGATATCTGGTTGGTATGGACGAATTGGACCAAAGGGTCTGTTTCCGTGCTGTACGACTCTATGGTTGATCAGGGACCATTCCCCACTGCTTCACCCCCTTCCCTCAACTCCCTGCCACCCCCAGAGTTTTGTTTGCTGTTTGGAACTTGTTTGGTGTTAAACAATGCAAAATACTAAGTAGCAAGCTGAAGCAGGCCCAACAACTGGGGCAGCAACAGTTTGACAAGTTTGAATAGGATAACGTGCAGGAGCATTTGGTTATGTGTGATTTTTCTCTATGTTGCCTCTTTACAATACACCAATCCTGTGACAGTGCTGCTTTCTATATTCAACAGATTCTGTCTATGGTGGGCAGGGGAGTTTTGCAGATTTTCCCCATGGCACTCCTGCCAACACATCCATTAATGAGTTTATGCATGGACCACCCATGCCCTACCCAGCGGACATCCCAAATATGGCTCCTGACAAATCCCTCGGGCACTCCATGCTGGATCAGGTAAGGTTTTGTGGTTTGGAATAAGTCTTCCATCAGTTGCTCACCAGGTCTGGTCACATAGCTGGTGACAGAAACGAAGATGAGTAGAAACATTAACTCTGTTTCTCCCTCTCTCTCGCTTGGTCTCCACGGATGTTCCCAGATCCGCTGAGTTTCTCCAGCATTCTCGGAGCTTGTTTACAATTTAAGCACTTTTCTCTGCACCCTTGTAGACGTGTGTGGCTCCCAACACACGTTCATGGGGGGCCCCCTGTAGTTGCTGAGCGCTGTTTGGCCTGTAGGTTGGTTGAGGTCTGTGACCAGAAGTGTCGTCACTTCTGAACAGCTGGACATGTATCCCCTAGCTGATTCAGAATTCCAGCAACCTGTTGTCCTGCAGCCACTTCCCACTGGGGTCAGCGAAAAGACACAGATAGGGCTGACTGGGGCTCTAGGTGGACAATGTTCTACTGGTGTGTTCTCAACCATCACCCACCTGATTTTGAGAGCCTGGCTTCACTTAGAGCAATCAGCAGAACATGGCTATCAAATATCCAGCCTGTGTGTGCCATTGCTTAAGGCCATTAGGTGTCTGGGAATGGGATGTGAACGTTCTTGGACTCTATTTTAAGCAGCAGGTGATCTAGAATGCACTGAGTGTGGTGGAGGCAGCTTCGATCATGTCTTTCAAAAGGAATTATCAAGGGCAAAAGAAAATTGCAGGGCAACAGGGGAAAGGTGGCTAAACGGCACTGGATGATTTGATCTTGCAGAGAGTCAGCACTGACATGATGGGCCAAATAGCCTCCTTCAGTGCTGTAACCATTTTCTGATTCTCTTCAAAGACTTTGCTGCCATTAATTGGCCATGATCAATCATGAAATATATCCTACAACTCGAATGTGTTCCCCAGCAAATGAAAGCTTCAATCTCTTTGGTTAGTAAGATTGTAGATGATGACACCAAAATGAGGTTGTGCAGTGGACAGTGAAGAAGGGGAAGGAACAGCCTGCAATCTCAGGCGTGAGCAGCATGGATCTTGTAGCCATTCCTGAGATTGCTGGCTTACTCACAGATTTATTATTGTTTTATTGTAGTCATTATACTTCTCTCAGTATACTTTTTCCCAGGAGCGTAGGAGTTTGAGGGGTGACATTATAGATGTTTATAAAATCATGAGGGGGCCATTGATGGGGTTAATGGCAGGTGTGTTGCAAAGTTGGGTGGCATACTTCAAAACTGGAAGGCAGAAAGTTAGAATTTGTTGCTAAAAATAATTGTGGGGGAAAAAGCGGTCCCTTTTAAAAAAGAATTGTGCTTGGAAGTTGCATGTACAGTAATGAGAGCCCCAAAAAGTGAAACCAGTGTATCAAAAGGCCTTACAGGTGGCAGGCAAAACAGAAGTCTTGCTTTGATGTTTTGACAACAAGTTTGAATTTGGCCAATTAATACGAACCAAGCACTCAGCCATTCAAACCCAGTTGAATTTAAAAACTAATGGTGTTGACGACCTGACACCAATCATATTATAAGAACTTGAAGTGTGACAGGGGAATATATAAAAAAAAGTTTATTTGAGGATCGAGGGGATCAGCAGCGAAAGCAAGTCTGCCATCTGACAGACAAACCTGCCTTTCACACAAAACGATTAAGCTCTCTGAAAGTCATCAAAAGTACCACAGCAGTCTTAGCTCGAAGTCCTTATCAATGAAATTACAGAAAAAAAAATTCCTGACAGCAGAATAATCGGAAGAAAGGTCTTTGTGGCGTAACGGAGAAGGCAGAGTGTTCCAGAAGACGTAGTCTGTGTGAATTTGGAGAGATTAAGTTTTAATTTAATGTTTTCTAATTCATTGGGTTTATATAAATCGGACTTGTGTTTATTTGAACAGTGTTCCAGTAGAATTTAGTTCAGATAGGAATAGTCAGTACTTAGGGGGAAATTGTTCGGTTTGTTAGTATCTCTTTTAATTTGTTCATTGTTAGGGTTCAATAAATAAATGGTTACTTGTTACTTATAAAGTGGAGATCAGGGATTTTCTTTCCTTTAACAAATCTTTTAACAGATTATGAAGGGCGAGGCAAGCTTCTCTGAGTGTTTTGGATTTAATTATTAGAAGGGGACTTCTTCTTCCATCATAACAGAATGGGGCTTGTGTGTTGATTCAATTATCAGAGGGATTTGATCTTCACTGCCTTCCTAACAGGTGTCTTTTCCCTAGGGTGGGGAATTTCAAGACTAGGGGGCATATTTTTATGGACAACGATTTTAAAAATGACATGAGAGGCAACTTTTTTACACAGAGAGTGGTTTGTGTGTGGAATGAACTTCCAGAGGAAGTGGTGGATGTGGGTACAGTTACAATGTTTAAAAGACATTTGGATAAGGACATGAATAGGAAAGGTTTGGAAGGAGATGGGTCAGGAGCTGGCAGGTGGGACTACTTTAGTTTGGGATTGTGTTTGACATAGACTGGTTGGACCGAAAGGTCTGTTACTATCCTAGGGGTTACCATCTACAACAAAAGACAATCTAACCGTCACCCCCTTGACAATCAATAGCATTATACTGACTGAATCTCCCCCAACTATCAACATCCTGGGGGTTACCATTGACCTAAACTGAACTGGACCAGTCCATATAAATACAATAGCTACAAGAGCAGGTCAGAGGCTGGGAATCCTGCAGCGAGTAACTCCCCTCCTGACTCCTCCCAAAGCCTGTCCCACCATCGACAAGTCACAAGTCAGGAATGTGATGGAATACTCCCCACTTGCCCTGGATGGGGGCAGCTGCAACAACACTCGAGAAGCTCGACACCATCCAGGGACAAAGCAGCCCCCGCTCGATTGACCCCACACCCACAAACATCCCACTCCCCCCACCACCGATGCTCAGTAACAGCAGTGTGTACCATCTACAAGATGCACTGCAGCAACTCACCGAGGCTCCTCAGGCAGCACCTTCCAAACCCACAACCCACTTCCATCCAGAAGGACAAGGGGCAGCAGGTACATGGGAACACCACCCCCTGCAAGTTCAGCCTCCGAGCCCCTCGCCGTCCCTGACTTGGAAATATATTGGCCGTTCCTTCAGTGTCGCTGGGTCAGAATTGTGGCACTCTCTCCCTGAGGGCACTGTGTGGGGGTCGCTACACCACATGGGACTGCAGCGGTTCAAGAAGGCGGTTCACCTCCACCTTCTCAAGGGGGTAATTGGGGGGAACGGGGCAAGAAATGTTGGGCCCAGCCAGTGATGCCCACAACCCATGAAAAATTCTTTTTAAATTTCAAAGAATGCTAAACTTGCACCAGTTGCCTCACATTATTGCTTTCCACCTTGTCTGTTGCGGCTGTATTTGACATCTCATTCTGCAGAATTTGCTCTTGGCGCTTTGACAGAGGGTCAACAAGCGAGAACAGTAACCAGTCTTTTATGCTTAGATACAGTGTAGATTGACCTTGAAGCTTTATGAGAGGCTTTGTTGCTTTACACATACTGGGGCAGGGCTGAATCTTACAGACCCTGGCAGGTACCACTGGGGGTCATACTAGTGGCTCCTGCCCACCCACACAGGTATTTTAACCAGGGAAGTGAGCTATGGTTTGTACCCCACCCCCCTGACCTATGGGTCTCTTAAGCCAATTCATAGGCACTGTATGTGTGGTGGAGGCCCACCTTCTTTAGAGTAATAGAGTCATACAGCACGGACCCTTCAGGCCAACCAGTCCATTCTGACCATTATCCAAAACTAAACTAGTCCCACCCGCCTGCTTCTGGCCCATATCCCTCCAAACATTTTCTATTCATGCACTCATCCAGATGTCTTTTAAATGTTGTAACTGTACCCACATCCACCACTTCCTCTGGAAGTTCATTCCACACACGACATCAGTGTAAAAAAGTTGCCCTCACATCCTTTTTAAATCTTTCTCCTCTCACCTTAAAAATATGCCCCCTAGTCTTGAAATTCCCCATCCTAGGGAAAAAACATCTGCCATTCACCTTATCTGTACCCCTCATGATTTTAAAAATCTCTGTATGGTCACCCCTCAACATCCTACCCTCGAGGGATGGAATGTTCCAGTCTATCCAACCTCTCCTCATAACTCAAACCCTTCATTCCTGGCAACATCCTGGTAAATCCTTTCTGAACCCTCTCCAGCTGAATAATAACCTTCCCTATAACAGGGCGACCAGAACTGGACACAGTGCTCCAGAAGAGGCCTCAGCAACATCCCGTACAATCACAACATGACATCCCAACTCCTACACTCGGAGGCCTGAGCAATGAAGGCAAGCGTGATCAATGCCCTCTTAAACCACCCTGTCTACCTGTGACACAAACTTCAAAGAATTTAGTTTTCCCATTTCCATGTTTCTTCTTACCCACTAGGCCACTGGAACCCTCACCCCCTGCCAAACCAGGGCATGCCAGCTTAGCCCTGACAAGACTCATATGGTGCCAGACTCCCAGCAGTGACCGCCCCCCCACCGCAAGGACGAGAGCACTGCCAGCCACTTGAGTAGCCAACAGCTCTCAGAGACGAGTTTCCCTCTCAGATGGTGGCAAACGGCCCATGAAATAAAAGATTCAGGGGCTGTTAGTTGATACCATGTCGCACTACCACCCCTGTCCCCCATCTAAACGAATAGAGGTTGAGTGAGTTCAAATCTTGCTCACTGAAATCGACTTTTCAGACCTTCTCTAGGACGAGTAAAGTTGTCACATTTAATGCTGAATTTGTTACTCCCGACCAAATGCATAATGTTTCCAATTTGATTCATAATAACATCTCCAAAGCAGTGACTCGTTAAAATCCAAGCTTGATTCCTGTCTCCAGCTGATTTACATATCACGTGATGTTCTACGGGGTTTGTAAACCCTCAAGATTGGCTGCAATTAATTGTTAGAACCCAAGCTGCCAGAGATTTCAATTGCAGCTCGATCAGGGTTCTGGTGTCTGGCTTGGAAGCTCTCCAACTGTTTATTGTGGTCCACTGGAATCTGACTTGACATTTAATTTCCAATTTTAGCGATTGCTCTGCCCCTAGCTTGCTGAGAGAACTGACTGGGCTGTATCATTTTTCTAAATTGATTGAAGTTCATGGGAATGATACAGGACTTGATGAAGGGAGCTTTCCAACTTCACACAACATTCAGTGTCCTAACTCCTCAGTACAGAACAGCTCAGAAATAGTTTAGAAATTCCTCAGCTCCAACTGTGGAAGAAAGACACCACCATGACATTGAAATATCTTCTGGTATTCACATCACCATTTTATGATCTGAATGGGGTTGTCAATTAATACAAAACAAGCTACAAGATTTTTTTTTCTCCCCTCTGTGCATCCATGTCAACTAGGAACTGCCCATAAGGTCTATATGAAGGAAAATTTTATTCTATCTTTTACTGCTGCGTTTGATTTTAGTCCTTGGTCGTGAAAGATTTGTCTAATCCACTGTACGATTTGTTTCCTCCAAATCAGCATCTTTCATGGGACTGATGTTCTTTGCATTTTGTAAATATCTAAAAAAGTGAGTTCTTTCATGAAAATAATTGCAATATGACCTCAAATTATCAGAAAGCCATTGCGATCCTAAATCAGGAACTCCTTACAAGCATTTGAGTTTGCGTGGAACACTGTGTGGGAATATTGTGGGCCCCCAGTCCCTGATTTTTCAGATTATTTAATAATTGGACAATCACAGGTTGATGGCCTGTAACTGCTTAGCAGCTGTTCCTTGTGTAAACTCTCTTTGTTTTGGGACTGAGGCCTCTGATTATCTGAACAAATTGTCCTTGGAGAAAGCAGACCGCAGTGAGCCAGAGGACACATGAAGTGTAGATTAGTTAACGGAAAGTTTGCTTTAAGAGTTTTTTTTTCCCTGTATGATTTTCTCCTACTGAAAGAATTGAACTAAGTACACTTTTACAGTACCTTACCCATGTCAGATATCTCCCAGTGTGTTACCTTGTACAACTCTGGAGATTGTCACAGTGGGTTTGAATCATGTCCGTCTGAATTCATCCATCTTCTAGGACAAATAGGAACCTGGATTGATCATTTTCTCTTTAATAATACATTCGTCTGCTTGCTGTGTAGGGATTAAGACAAAGAACAGACTGTTCAACTACAATTTCAAGCAACTCCCCACTCATTCAGGTCATAGCTCATTTGATTGTGGTCTTGACTTTCCTGTCTGTAACCTCTGACTCCCTCACGGATCAAAAGTCTATCTTTCCTCAGCCTTGAATAATTTCAATGACCAATGTTTTCTAAGGAAGAAATTTCACAGACTATCATACCTCTTGAAAGGGAGGTGTCTTGCTTTAAAACTATGTCCCCTATTTTAGTCTTGTCCCACAAGGGATACATCTTCTCAGCATCCACCTGGTCAAGTCCTGTCAGGATCTAGTACGCTTCAGTGGGATGACCTCTTGTTCTTCTAAGCTCCAACGGATAAAGCTGCAACCTGTTCAACTCTCCTCACTGGAGAAATTATTTATGCCAGGAATGAATCAAGTGGACCTTCTCGGAACTGCTTCCAATACAATTCTATCATTTTTCACATTAGAGACCAAGACTCTACATAGTACTCTCAAAACTGCAGTAAAACGTGCCTACTTTTTCATTCTGTTCCACTTACAACAAACGTCTTGAGTTCCATTTGCCTTCTTAATCACTTTCTATACAAGCATGCTCACATTTTGTAATTAATTTATTAGGACATCCTGAACACTCTGCACCACAGTGTTCTGCAATCTCTCTCCATTTAAGTTCAACAGGTCAGATATCTTTTATCTGAACGTCCAAAAACTGAAAAGACTTAAAAGACTGAAGGATCCAAACAGACTTGTACAGGTTGGGTTTGGGCCCTCTGTGAAAGTAGAAACTTTGCTTGGCCCGAACAGACCTGAAAGTGAATGATCAATGTCTGTACCACTTAATGGACCCTAGGATGCATGTCATCAGGTTCTGGGAACTTATTGCACTTTTAATTATAATAGTTTTCCCAGTATTTGTTCCCTGGTGATACGCTTCATTCTAATTATCCCTCTTCCTTTTGCTATTTGATTTTCAGAAATCTTTGGGAAATCTTCTACAGTGATGGCAGACACAAAATACCTATTCTCACTTCTGCCGTTTTCTGTTATTAATTGTCCAAAGGACAATGCTCACTTTAGTAAACTTCTTCCTTTTAAAATACTTGTGGGAAGTCCTTTTTTAAAACATATATTTCTAGTAAGCTTTCCTCTCATGACTAATCTCTCCCTTTTGATTAACTTTTTAGTCATGTTTTGCTGGTTCTTAAAATTGTCTAATCTTCTAATCTTTACAGGGTTACCTTTGTTGTTCTGCCACTTTTTTTGCCACGTGCTTGTTATCATTGAGAAATTGTTACATTGCTCTATTCCCTTCTTGTTTCTCTTTCATTTACCACATCTTCCCTCATTATCCCTTCTCTGCACCATACAGTTTAAAATCCTTTCTACTAACCGAGTTATAGGGCTGACGAAAACACTGGTCCCAACACACACGGCATTTTGAAAACATCCCCATGGCAAAGCACCCACATTCCTCAAAGCCAAATCCCCATGAATGGAAACTCATTTCTCCTGCATCAATCCTTCAGCCACACATTCATCTCTCTCATCTTAGTTGCTTAGGGCTCAGGTATTAATCCAGCAATATTACCTGGAGTAATGTGGCTTTGATCTCCTTATCTGAGGAAGACTGATTCCTGGGATGGCATGGACTGATGCAAGAAGAGAGACTGGATCAGTTAGGACTATAATCATGTACATTTGGAAGGTTGAAGAGGGGCTTCAATAGAAACCTATCAAATTCTAACAGGACTAGACAGAGTTAACATAGGCAGGATGTCCCTGATGATCGAGGAGTCCAGAACTGGGGGTCAGAGTGTAAGGATATGGCTAGGACATTTTAGGACGGAGATGAGGAGAAATGTCTTCACCCAGAGAGTCGGTGAGCCTGTGGAATTCTCTGCCACAGAAAGCGGCTGATGTGAAATCATTGAATGTTTTCAAGGAGTTTGATATAGTATTTAGGGCTAAAGGGATCAAAGGTTATTGGGGGCTGGGGGGAGAGGAGAAAGCAAGAACAGGGAACTGAACTGGATGATCAGCCCATGATCATATTGAATTGCAGAGCAGGCTCAAAGGGCTGAACAGCCTATTCCTGCTGCAATTTTCCCTGTTTCTCTGAAATGTTTGCCTTTAATAATTTTTGAATTTATGCTTCCACCTCCCATTTGTAATGTTTGAAAGCATTTTCTAAAATATGTAAACTGCAGTTCCCATGCTGATGGTTCTTGAAGGTAAGTTAACCCAGAATCAATAGCCATGAGAGTTGTCATCTCTGGGGTTTAGAATGCATGATGGAATTGTGAACTGTGTTGAAGACCGGAATGTACATGATAGTGTTTGTGCGTGGCCTGGAAAAAAAGAAATCATTGAATGTCTAGGGTTGTTGCATTGTTTAAAATGATTGTTTTCATCTTCTGTTCCCAGATTCCTCATTCTGGAACAATGGACCAATCCCACGCAACTCTGCAGCATGGAGTCCATGCACATCACCTCAGTGGTCAGTTGCTGCACCATCGCAGCCCATCCCAACACCTGCGGCAGCTCCAGCAGACAAGCGCTGGAGTCCATTCACACAGCGAACTGACCTTCAACCCATCTGCGGTAATGGAAGGTCAGGCAAGGGGCCAAGGGGCAGCTGATGTTCCCGAGTCTTCTCTAGAAGTAAATATGGCATTTCCTTCCTCCTCTCGTGATCATCTTGTGTGCTCTCAGCTTCTACAGGACTATTCAGAAATACTGACTGGTTTTATCTTTGCTCTAACTGAACGGTCATGAATGGTTATTTAATGCACTGAAACTATCTGACTCAAGACTTGATCTTGAAAACTGCACTGTTTCCATTCTTCCCAGGTTGGACATGTCTATAGTTCTCTGAAGTGTTACTTAGTGCTGCACAGCTCTTTCACCTGAAAAATCTTAAACCAAAATGCTTGTGTAAAATTAGCAGGGAAGTCAATTTTTCCCCAATTGCAATTCCACTTGATATAGTCATGCAACGCCTCAGGAGCACGCCTGCAACCCACAACCCTCCCAATGAACTGCCCCATGAGCTGCATGAAGAGAATGTTAACAGGCGGGAGAGGGCCAGAGGCGTCTTTTAAATTGCAAGTCAGGAAAAGCAAACTTGTTTCACAAGTACACAATTATCAGGAGTAATGCAGGGAACCACTTTGTGATGTTTCAGCAAAAATCTCTGGCCCTCCGCTAACGTAACTGTTACTGGCTTCAGCCCCCGGGATCAAGCATGTGCTTGGATTTTGGTCTGGGGACAGTAGGCCAGCCTGCAATGCCTACCAGTATTGAACAAGCTACCAATCCTGTCTGTAATCGAAAGAATGTCCACTTTGGGATGCTCGAAGGTACTGCAGCAAAATGTGAGCATTGTTAAGGGGAGCCTTGTTGCACAGCTACATTGGCTGCAGTTGGGTGAGTTTTCACGTAAATGAAGGGAGAAGTAGAGCAACACAAATCCTAGAGTTAGCACATTTATTGACCGTACTCAAAATAGCCTTTAGGAACATTATATTCTTGAACAAAAATGAGAACGAAGGCAATTGCACGTACTCTATTGACATAGGTAGATAATTGATTAGGAAGTTGGAGACAGAAGAGACAATGAGTATGCACTCAAATTTAACTAGACTCCCTTAGGGATTCATGCTTGCACCTCAGCTTTTCACTATAATTTATATGTGATTTAGACTTGGACAAATCCCAAGCAATCCACCTATTGATCAGTGTTTGCAGTTTTTTTTTGTTTCTCCCCATTTTTGTTGAAGGCTAAAACCCTATGATGCAATTGCATAACCACACTGTTCTATCCTTGGCAATGCTTATCCATTTTAACTAGGAGGGCAAAAAACTGTTGGTCATTCTGGTACAAAACACAGACGTGAAACCGATTCCAAATCCCTTCAGTGATCACTCTTTGTATCAAAAAACATTTCATCACCCATCATGGTTTCATATCAGCGATGATCCTATTGAATGGTGGAGCAGACCCAAGGGGCTGAATGCTTTACTCCTAATTTGTAATTTGTATCTGTCACTCCTTCACATTTCTGGGTATGGAGCCCAGGGCACCAAGTAGTCACAGCACCTTATCCAAATGACCATTAACTATATGTGATCTTTGATGGTAAGATGACTTGACCAGTGAACATCATCGTCAGAGAAAACAATTTACCTGCACCTTGGTTGTGGAGTAGGACATGACATGGAAAGGAAGAGTTTAAACAATATATTTGAGAATATAAGAGGAAAGAGATTAAAATCAACTCGTTTTGCTTTGCAAACTGACCTGACCATTAATATTCTTCAGTCTCTGCAAAGCTGCATTCCAAGGCTGGAATTTATTTAATATTTTTCCAGCTGAATAATTTTAAATAGTTTCCACCCTATCGTCTAATTCATTTCATTTGTCTTGAGCTAACGATATCCAATCTGATCTTGATTTCTCCCTTGTTTCCTAGCTTCTTCCAGAGATCACGAACCCAGATGAACTCTTGTCATACCTAGGACCTCCAGTCATGCCAAACAACAGCAATGATGATCTTCTCTCCTTGTTTGAGAATAACTGAGATTCTTCCCCTCTCCCAGTGGGCTGACAACACTACAGTAACCTTTGCTCCATCTCCATTGAAGCTCAGCTGGTACTGTGTACTGCCTTGTATTGTTGGCAGTGCAAAGGTGATGACGGATGTCTTTGTGGACTTGACTGGAAGGAGATTCTTCCAGGCCCATTGTAAAAATGCCATCTCGCGTCTTCAGGGTTGGAAATACCTTAGGAACACTAGGATATGGACCAGGTTAGAAAGTCTGGCCAGCTGGAAGAAAGCAGATTCTGTAACTACCACCAATGGTTGTCAAGGAATCAGCAGGATAATCTTTTGCTATGAATGCAAATCTTGTCTGGAGTTCAAAGCACTGAAAGCAAATGATGTGAAACAGTTCAATGCAGCAATTAGCCCCAGGCCACTAATTGCAGAAGTTTTATTTTTTCCAGCTGAGGAATTTTGTGGACTATTCTCCACATTCACTTTTGAAGTGAGGACTGTGACATCCTGGGAATCAAATGCTATGTACAGAAACAAAAATATAACAGAACTTGAGAAAACTCCTTACCAAAGTACAGCGGCTTTCCTGGATCCCTGCACTTTCGTTCGTGTAAGAGAGATAGATGAACATTGACACTGACTTCTGAATTATTCAACAGAATGCAAAAAAGAAGACCAATTACTAAATTTTTAAAAAAGCACAAGAGTTTCTAAGTATGTAATGCAGGAATACAAGAACACAAAAGGGAAAGATCTCTCTTCTTGTAATGGAACAGTATCACTGCCTACATTTCACAACTTGTGAGTAAAGATATTGGACGTCATATCATTTTAATATAAATGCAGTACAGGTGATTAAATGACAGAGTACTATGTTATTATTCCATTTTGATGTCCCCACACCTTTTGACCATTTTTGTTCTTTTGTATATTTGGGGGGGAAAAAGCATTCCCTAATGTTAATGGAGACTTATCTGAATACACCAGTATTGTTCTACACATTGCAGTTTTTGCACCAACTCCACGCGGCACTGAAATCCAGTTTTCTTCCTTTTTAAAGTACCTTTTAAAGGATCCTTTGGCAAAACAACTGACAACAGTACATCACCACTGTCATGCATTTTAATGCTGCAAAGTGAAAGGCAACATTTTATGCACCTTGCAGTGAGGGAGGTGGTTCAAAACAATACAATTATTGTGTAAGAAAAAAATCTCCATTTTCACTTTCTATATATGCAGCTTGCTTTTTTTTTTGGGGGGTGAGGGGGTGTGATATTAAATTTATATTTAATCAGTTTGTTGGGCTACTGCAGTTCAAGATATTCATGAAATATTTAAAGAAGGTGGCTCAGATAAATAAGTCAATTTTGTGTGTGTAAATCTGGGTTTTAGATTTGGAGGAAAGGAGCAGTCACATTTGGGGTATTACCCTTCTTCAGAACTCCCAAAATGTTTACTTCTCCTCTCCTCCAGATGCTGCCTGGCTTGCTGTGTTCTTCCAGCCTCTTGTTTGTTTACCTTGGATTCCAGCATCTGCAGTTTTTTTTGGTCTCTAACTGGGTTTTAAGTTTATTGAATCCATCTCCTTTGTTCAGATTTTCTAGGGATGTACTGAAATCTGAGAGACAATAAATGCTAATTGTTCTTTGTTTAATTTCTATAATGTTTTTAAAACTACTGCTTTGATAGAGGAACTTACATTTTAATACAACAATCTATCTATTCATTGAAACCCTGTTTCCACATCAGTTCCAGGATATGAAGAGCTGGATTGCTGATTTTTAACTATATTAAATTAGACGTGAAACAAATAAATAGGATGCAACTGAATATCTGAAAAGAGAAAGACACACTGCCATTGGGGTGGAACTCTTCAACAAAACTGACACCCTCTAAAGCCCTGACCAAAATAAAGAGGGGACATTAATTGGTATGAAAATTGCCTGTTTGTAAAGGGGTAACAAATGAGTTCAATAGCAAGAGAGACAGAGGACATTCATAAATTGTGTGTAAGGGTCAGGCTTATGGGGTGGAAAAAGTAGAGTTGAACATCTGTGACCAGCGGAGAGAGTAATGTCATGTGAATAAAAGTTAACAAGAGGGGGGAGTAGGATGGTAGATGCCAGCTGAAATAAGAAACTGTTCTTATTGCTGATTAAGGGACGATCTGTTGTGCTGAAGGGGAAGATGAGATGCCGTCCAAAGGGGTGGTGACTAAGAGACCACACTGTTTTAATTGTCAGGTTTTGCTTTTCTTAATTCTCCCATGTTTTCTTTTAATTAACTGTGCACCATTTCCTGAGCAAAGATTTAAGCAGGCAACTGACCCTCTGGCTGCCTGGTTGTCAAGAAATGCTGATCTCTTATTTTGCCTTCCTCAGTTTCTGTGCACTTCCAGATGAGTTTATGATTTGGTCTGTGGAAATGACCAGCTGTTTACCAATGTATTTACCTGACCATTTTTAATTATCAAATAAAACAGGGATGGTTCCAGATTTCCACTACCAATTGTGCGAAGAACCAGCTCCTCAAAGTTAACATTTTGTCCCTACCAGATGAAAGAAGAGTGAAACCATTAGATGCTTCAAACATTTGAAACACTTCAATTAGATCACATCTAAACCTTCTGTACTCAGGGAAAACTTGGTGGAGTATGCAACCTGTCAACATAATCGAACCCCTTTAAGCTCCTGTGACGTTCTGGTGAATTTACACGGCCCTTATATTCGTCTTGAGGGGCTGCAAAGGTAGAATCAGTCTTATCAAACCATGGGAGGAGGAGGGGCAGGGGGGTAAGAGGTGGGGAGAGAGAGAGAATGAGTGCAGGAAAGAGAGGGGTGAGACAGAGAGAAAGAGTGAGTGAGTGTGGGAGAAGGAAGGGGTGAGAGAGAGTGTGAGTGAGCGCAGGGGAGGGGGAAGGGGTGTGAGTGAGTGCGGGGGGGGAGGGAGAG